CGTGGCGAGCCTGTTGCTACTGTCGGTATCAATAACTCGACCAATGCTGCGCTGCTTGCTGTACGCATCCTTGGTGCGGAGGATAAGACGATTCGCGAGAGGTTGAGGGTTTGGATGGAGGGGAATGAGAAGGAGGTTATGCGGAAGGATAAGGCGTTGCTGGAGGATGGGTGGGAGGCTTATCTTAAGGGTATGGGCAAATAGACGGTGATGGGAAGGTGGTGGGCTGAGGGGCTGAGGAAGCATGTGCTTTGTTTGTGAACACTGAGTGGTGGGATATGCAGGAAGTAGAATACCTCTTTCTGGCCTAAGAAATGGACCTTCCCTTTACGGATATCTTAAGTGCAGTACACATGCAATGTTACGGAAGTCTTTTACTATCGAGGCTCATTACGATGATGATGATCATCATCACTGTTCACTCCAGCCTCAACAGCAGCCTCTTCTCCACACAACACATGAGAGCAACCCTGACTCTTTTCATTACTGTATTCGCACAGTTGACTCCATGAGACTCGCGTTCTAGTGTTTTATGGTGCTTCTTCCGCGCAAGAACATAGGGTAGAGAGATGTAGTTTTCGAACACATCTTTGAATTCGTCGCTCATTTTTAGAAGACGCCACGAGACCACAGCCATAATCCACTTCTCATGTGCTTTGGTAAATCGGGTTTTGCATGTGCGGACAAGAGAAGAAGGAAGAGCAAAAAGTGCAGATTTTATAGCTGAGGCGGGGAGAGTGACAGCACATCGATTTGCGGATCCATTCTTTTGGACGGCTTCCCGTCCTCTTCACATAACAGTTTCCATCCGTCATTTTGAGAGTAGCTCTTCAAAGAGTAGAGACGAGGAGAAAACGACATCCCCTCGTCCGAAAGTCATTTTAAAGTACAAAGCTTCCTTATCTTGCCTGCTTGCACATGGAAAGGCTGTCCAGAATTTTTGGAAGTAGGATAGGGCACATCGACAGCCCATGAAGATGAATATGGGAGGTGGCTGCGAGAAGAGGAGGACCATGCAGCAACTGTAGCTAGCTTTTGGGAAAAGGAGTGAGAACTGTGGTGTGTGGAAACAGAGAAGGTAGGAAAGGAAGAGGCGGCTTTATACGCGTCAAGAGTCATCCAGAGCGCGCACTCATCACGTGGTCTCCGATATGTTTTGAACAAGGAAGCACACTCTTTTCATGTTCTGCTGCTTCAGCACTTTTTGGATGCGGTCGTATATGTTTGAGATCGGTACATGAGGTTTCTCATTTCGTGGGTAGAGAATCGGGGAGACGACAGGCACATGTGTTGGACATTGAAGCTTTTGAGAAAGGGAAGACGCGGACATAGAACGTCCCTTATGCGTCTTTTGAAGAATCGTGTACAAGTTTGGTATGATAGAAGGAATAGAGAGACGACAGTGCGGAGACATTTTTATACGCATCTCCCGAGGCGAACGCAGACATGAAAACAGTGCTCTGCTCTTTTGACGTCGCATGTTCTGCTCTCATGGATACGTTACTTCCACGCCAATCAAAAGTCGTGCTTTGAGTAGTATGTAGCATCGAGTTCCAGGCGGAACGCGCCATGGTCTCATATGTTTCCTTGTTTTTAGAGAGGCTCCGCAGGAGAGGCTCTCATAAACCGATGAGCAGTACGATTATTGTGACACAGTCACATGTATCGAAGTATTGGCGATTTTGGAAGTAGGTGGAAAAGAAAGATAGGACTCTCGCATAAGGGCTTGACCACGCAATTTTGGAAAGATGTAGGAGGAGGGTGGTGAGTAAGAAATAAGACAAGGCGAGGAAATCGGGAGTTTATATACTCCTCACAGGAGCAGTGTAGAGGCGTCAACGGATAAGGAACATTTTTCTTCTAGCACTCGTTCATCCTGGGCGTTAAATGTTCAATCACATTTACTTTCTGAGACGCTGATGAAGTGAGGCGTACGGGCTTTGAGAACATGAGTTTTGTAAGCGTCAATTTGGCGAACTCAACGCCAGTAAAGATAGACGAGCAATGCGTAGCCTAAAAGCGGTTGCATAGCTTATGGACTTTGGGTTTTTTGTGGGTTCGCGCAAGTATTTAAGTTGCTCAACCATGGTTGTGTTCCAAGTTTCCTACTTCACAATCCCCAGAACAATTCTCAAAATATTTTTCTGAGCCTCTCACTTTTACCAACTCCCGACCTCCGAAAGGATTTTTCACCTCCCGATGTCTTCCAACCTCAAGACGACAACGACACAAGATGCTTGCAAAATCAAAATCGCAGCATACCAGCAGGATATTGAGAGTTCTGTCCAGCGAGCTTTTCTTCTGCGCGGAAGCCCCTCTTCGTCTGGATACTCGAAGGTAGTCGTACAGTTCATGCACTTCCTGAACAACGACATCGTCGGTGTACGAGAACTAGAGAAAGAGCTGGGGGATATCTTCAAGAAGGTGTATCATTACGACGTAAGATACAATACGATTGGTGGTGCAAATACGAAGTATGCATCTGTCACGCTGGAGGTCAATTCTCTCCTGAGTGATCTCGCGGAGCCCGAGGAGTATGGTTCTGCTGGCAATCTGATCATACTGGTTTACTCTGGCCATGGAGAAAAGGTCAAGCATAATGGAGTAAACCAACTCCGGGTATCGTAAGTTCAGATCTTTCTAATGTGTAATGTTCTTATCAGCTACTAACAATTAATTAGGGGTACCTCCGACGGTCAAGCACCGAATTTCTTCTGGAATTCGGCAGTTAGTCTGCTGGATGGTATTCCAAGCGACATCTTGCAGATACTGGACTGCTGCTGCGCTGCAGAAGCATTCAGGTCCATCGAAAGCGAATTCCTGACAGCTTGTTCGGCGACAGAGATCGCTGGGGCCGACGTAGCCACCAGTTTCACGAAGGCTCTAATCGAGCAGCTCAAGATCTGCAACGGTAACCCCTGGACCACGTCGGCTATCTACAGCCGGATTGTCCATAACAAAAGCAAGTTCGGACTCTCAGTTACTCCAACCTATCTCCCCCGTAACGACACCCACCCTCCCATCCTCCTTCGCAGACTGGGAAACATCGCAGCTCCTCCTCCTGTCACGCTCAGAGATGAGAGCGAAGAGCCGAGGGTGATCATTACGGCTCACATCGAAGAGAAGATCACAGCAGAGACCGTCAGGCAATTGAAGATCTGGCTCGAAACTCGTATGCCTGCAAAGCTATTGAAGCTGAAGGTCGACTTCGCTGGTGTCTATGACACAGATTCCAGTCTGCTGGAGTTCAGGATTCCAGTGGTGGTCTGGGCAATGTTGCGAGATGATCCGGCATATCGGTTTGTCAGTTTTAGCAGAAGTGGTAACAGATTGTTGGATTTGGCGCAGAGCAACAGTAGCACTTTGGTATCTCGACCTGTCTCTGGATACGAGAACATGAAGCCTGGCTCGCCTTCTAAGTAGAGCGAGCTGCGAGTGTTAGGATTTTTGCTGCAGCGAAATTGGCGCAGAATTATCGGGTTCTGGAGCATGTTCCATGTTTGAAGCGTTGGAGCTCGTTGGAGGTTCCAATGCGATACCCAGGGATATTAGTTTGGAGTTTGAGTGCAGTTTTGTTGATAGAGCTGGTGTGGTGGAGTGGACAAACTGAGCAGCGGTGTGCAATACTTGATTTGGAAGGAGCGTGCCCACTGCACTTGCTCGTGCACGGTGCGCTGTTAGTACCTAAGATTTCTGTTCCTGTTTCATTGAGCTGTTCTGGTAGCGACTGTTGTTCGATTCTGTGTCCATTACATTGTAGCTACCATGTGCCCATAACGGAACCTCTGCTTCCAGACTTTATCCGATTGCGGTCCTCGGAGCCTCATGTTGTCAAAAGTTGACGTAGCGACCTCGATTACAGAAGCTCACAAGCATAGCTATCATTTGCAGCTATCGCAAGCGCCAGCTGTTCCATGGATCATTTCCAACTAAAAGTCAACGACGGCCTATCCTCTCGATCCCGTATCCGCTGCTCCAATAGCTTGCGGTAAAACTCGGCTCCTTTCATGGCGCGGGTTCTCTTGTCGTATGGATCAAGGTGGTCGAAATCGTGGAACTCGTCCACGATGCGGGGATCGAGTTCCAAGTGTGTCAGACGCGGTAACAGTTTGGTGAAACGATCGCCCTGAGATTGGCATGCTTGATACAAGCCTTGCCTCTTGGTAAATAGACAGTGACATGTCAAGTCCTGCAAGCATGCCGTAGACATACGTAGGGATTCGATGTTTCGTAGAAGCGCGTGCTTCGAGAGAAGCCGAAGCTGGTAATCCTGACTGACCTTGAAAGTGGCGAGTGAGAATATCAGGAAACGCGTATCTGAGTGGATCTGTCTCGAGGTTGCTGGTAATTGAAGGGCAATATCCGTTGTTTTCCTGCCATCATCGCTTTGGGGAACCCCACGGAGCTTTGATTTTGTTCTGTCGCTGTCATGGCGATATCTTATTAATATATAGGCGCAATTCATGGAGTATTCCCAGATCTGGTTTCGGATTTCGGCCGGTAAGCGTAGTAGAGGTGAAACAGATCGGTTGTGTTGTGAGCTGTTCAGTTAGCAATTTCCGACTGCAGTGAGTTGGTTAGGTATCTTACATTGCTAGCTTGTCATCTGGCACCAGAAAGGTCTGTTCATCTTCTTGGTGCGAAGGAGACGATGTGTTCTCTAATCGCACACGCATTTGGCTTTTGTGAGACATCGTTTTCCGATGCCTTCGGTATTCGCAAGCGTTAGTCTTCAGGCTTTGGTGTCGCCTGGTGTGGAAGTTGCGATCTCGGCTAAGAGTAGATCTAGAGTTGTATACGGGGGTTGCGAGTCAAGGTCTTAAGGTTTTGAAGTATAAGTTGAGCGAGATGAAGGCCTCATGTACATATTGTATGCTAGCCTCCAAGGAATGTACTTTGGTTGAGATTTCCGAACTTTTGCTGCGTACCAAGGTTGGGGACCAATTGAAGCCAAGGCTTGCAATTAATACATCCACGGGTGGTTGTATCCGTATGATAGGCTAGATCTCTTCTTTGGGAGTCGCCTCTTTGTTATCTTCTTCTCCAAGCTTCGCCTCTGTATCTTCCTCTTCCTCTGCGTCCTCATCACAATTCCTCAAATACACAACCATCCCATTCAACGCATTCCCATGCTTTTCGAACTCTCTTAGCGCCACCTTTTCCCTGCCTTTTACCCACCTCTTACCCACCTCATTGCACTCCTCCAATCGCTCTTTCTTCTCCTTCGTTTGCGCATATACACTATAGTCATCCAGAATCTCGTTGCCTACATACAACACCGGGTCTTTCGATTTGAGGAACGTCGGTAGGAGAAGGAACCAGTCCACGAACGGCGAGTAGACGAAGGATTTGGACGTGATATGGACTTGGAGATCGGAGTCGAGGACCGTGATGGAGAGGTGAGATAGGAATTCGATGTCGAGGGCTGTGAAGGCTGGGTCTTGGGCGAAGCACTGTATCTTGATGTCCTTGTTCTCTTCTTTGACTATCTTATAATCAGTTCGGGTACATGCAACAGATAGAGACGATGACATACGCCGCCCGACTACATCAACAAACAGTACAAGCTGCCAAAGACTCCTCCACCGATGCGCCCAGTCCCGACTGAAACTGCCGATGCCAATGCATACCGCTTCTTCAACACCCCATTTGCCATCAGCGCTCCTCTTCTCCACAATCTCTTTGACTTGCTTCGAAAGCAGCGTATCTTCCCACCGCTCTTGAAGGAGGCGAAAATCGTCCAATAATTTCTCCGCTGTTAGTCCCTCCACAATCCTCGTAGGCAAGGACCCAGTATCTGCCTCCTTCTTCCCATTCCCATCAAGCGAGATACTCGCCAAGCCATGGGTAATAACAGTCCACCCATCCTCACTCTGCACCTCCTTCCTCTTAACGCGGCCTCTTCCTTTCTTACTCATATCTCCCCACTACACCTTTCTTTACTCGGTCTTGGCAAAAACCAAAACGCACATTCCCTTCACCACAAGCGCACCTCAAACCCACAATGACGCACACCGCACAAAAAAGGTACACCGATCGTCACGTCGTCGACTTAAGGTGCGGCTTGCATGGGCGCGTAAGTAAGGCGTGGCCAAAGTATCGAGGGCGAGGCGATGACGGGAAGGGGACCACCTGGGCGCGTAGAAAATCATCGTGAGAGGCCAGGGTCTGGTTGGGTTTTAGTGGGGAAAGGGAGGCTCGGAACGGGATTTCCGAGGCGGAATGGCGGCGACCTTGGCTGTGGCCCGCAAACTACAGTAAAGATCGTTTGGGAACTGTGCCTCTCTTGATTAGGGGTCTGCTATCTGGCCTGCAGCTGTAGTTCAAGCCATCCGCTCATGTCGGGGTTGCGCACGCGGATCAGGCCTCCTGCTGACGGCTTAGATACACAAGCTATTCTTTGTTGCAGTCGGTATAAGCATGACAGCATATGGCTTACAAGTGAGCGACAAGTGGAAATGCAAGTATTGGGATATTGAATGGTATTGCATGTGTAGCTTCTGTACATCATACCGCACAGTAACGTGTTATGTGCCCCTAAGAAAGACCGTCATAGCTGCTGAACAGCTGGTCCACCAACCACCCAGATCAAACCACCGTGTACGCTCCAAATCGAGATCGTCGCTTCAAAAGAGACCGGATATCTTTCGCGCCAAAACTCCTTGCCCATAAAAAGACTATATTCGCGGATAAAAGTCAGGTTCGTACACTAGACAACCCATGTAATCCACGACGCCGCTGCAAGCATTGCCGGTACTATGATTGATGCATAGGTATTGACGACCATGTTGTGTGGCGCTGGCGATGATGTTGTCGAGTATACGATTTGGAAGCCAATGTGGTCGTCGACGTTTGTTGTGTTAACGCAGTTTGAGCTGTTGACTTCGGGAACATCCTCTGGTTCGGCGAAAGTGATGTCGGCACACTATTGAAATCTATTAGCAACTATGCGGCTGTCATGTTCAGGCGTTTGCACTCACGTTGTAAAGAGCAGCGCCGTGTTGCGCAAGCTCAATAATCTGGATAGTCGCGTTGTCTCCAACCTGGGGTGTGTAGTTGGCAGGTAATGGGACTTGCGGTAGACAGAAGGAACCGGGGTATTCTTGGTTTGTAGGCCCTGTAATCTGGAAGACTGGCACCATCGTGTGCGAGTAGTTTAGCGGTTCGTTGCCGTAACCCATGTTGACGTAGAACATGGCGAGCGAGTGGCCTGGGAACCATCCGGGTTGGATTGCGACGGCGCCGCCGTTCACCGGCCACTTTGTGCGATTTTGCGACATTGGCATGCCACCACCTAGAAGTTCATGTTAATTATCTCCTCCTGCGCGGAATACCCAATCGGGAAAACGTACATGGGTACATCCATTGCATGCCGTATGGAAATCCATATGTGCCGGTGTCTTCGTGATAGTTGATACCGATCGAGCCATCTGGAATCGATGGGTCTGTGTCAGACTTAGTTCCGTTGGTGTGGATGTTGTTTCCTCTCCATCCTGGGTAGACGATAACGGTATGTGCAGTAGCGAGTGACCAGGTAGCGGCGATAAAAACGAGCTCGGTAAAACGAAACATTTTGGCGGTGCGATGTGGAAAGCAAAGACTGTTGCGTAGCGGAAGTCCTTGTCTTTAACGATTCAGTGACCCGTCAGCTTTGGGGTACACGATTTGATGGTAGTCGACGCAGAACGGGCAGCGTGCGGTGGCGGGGGGCATCAGCACTTATGGATTACGGGACTTGGCCTCGAGGGCCTCGTGCAACCATGGCATTGCTCGCCAAAGAGACGCTTCAGGCGAATGAACAGAGCAAAATGGGCCCGCCAGCATGGCCAGCCTTTGCATGTCAGCCCTCGAAGCATTGAGTAGGCAGCGAATAGGCACGTCGCTAGCATATTGAATCTACAGGGGCCAGCGACCACTGAGCTTCGCGTATGCAGGTCTTGTCGGGCGGGAGGGAAAGCCTCTGTCGGCGGAGCGAATAGCGTCCGAGGTGGCCATGCGCATGGCGCCTCTGATTTGCAGAGGCGTGTGATGACTTTGCAGAGTCTCGGCAGTCCGGCCAGGCACCTCTAAGCGCCCAACTACTCCAGAGTCCACATGCCCACCAGCAGACAGCGAGGAAGGTTTCCGGATCTGAAAAATGCCCTCATCCGCGCGACTCGGCCGTGATAGTGTGACCAAGGCGTGATGCAGAATCTTGAAACGCCGCAGCTACACCGCGTAGGCGACGTCTGTGTTCGTGGGAGAAGAATGCTGAAAGACGCAGACAACCGCGCGCACAGTCAGCTAGCCGCCACTGGCCCCCAACGGACGGCGATCAACGCCCTCGCCGCAATATAATCCCCAGCCGTCAACATGCGCATGTTTCTATCCTCATATCGCTGCATGAGGGCTGCAGTGCGACAGCTGGGGAAGGCCGAGTGTCGAGGATGCTGATTGGGAGCTTGTTTCGCCGCCCCTGGTCGCTTGGAAGTGTCCACTGCGCCGGGACGAACGAAGCCTCCATTCGCAATAACCAATTGCTTGAAAAGGCATTCCTTCTGGGCCCGCGTCGTGCCGAGCGCACCAGCACACCATCCGCGCAGTGCCATCTTTCCTGCGGTTCGCTGCTAGTGCCTGTCTATACGGCGCGAGGTACCGCATTCGTACTCCCCTTGCTTGAGTCGAACGAACATCTTTGCGCACTGGGGTTAGCAGTGAACAAGCATCGCTTTAGCCAAGCGCCATGAGATTGTCGATCGTGTTGGACGCAGGGTGCACGGGTTCGTTGATTCTGGCGTCCGGGATAGCGGCTGCGTGAGGTACGACCGCTGTTGATGCTGCCAGGTGTGGTGCCATGAGCGCCTTCCTCGAGCACTGAGAGACCCTGGCCACCTTCCTGCGATGGGGCCTCTTGCCTCGTCACTCAAGTCATGCTTTCCAATATCGCTGGTGTAAACAGTATCCACCTGACAGGTCTTTCTGGCTCTGCTTGTCACCAACCGTCCTGCATCGATATTCTTCGATGACCGCGGCGTTCATCGAACATTATTACTCAGTTCGATTTTAACTTCGATCATCACCCGACACCAGAGCTACTGACATGTTGTCGCTCGTCCCAGCGCGGAAGAGAAAGGAAGCCCATAACGCGATACAACTATCTCGTGATAAAGGCAAGGTTCGCGTCATCGAGCGATCAGCAGAAGGGTACTCCAGCGGCTCCACGAAGAACCTACAGGGGCGCAACAGCACCCCTGCTAGCCGTACCTTTACTACACTTCGTCGTGGAAGCATCAGAATCTTCTCAATCTTCCGCAATGGCAAGAGTTGCTACCCATTTCTGCCTGGTACCTCTTGGCTTCTACTGATAGTACCAACAGGTTCCGCTCCCAGCTCCGGCGAGGCTACCTTTGGTAGCACTGGGTCAACGGTCAACAAACTAGCAGACGTACCACGTGTCGATAACATCAATTCCTACTCCAACTCTCCTCTACAATGCCCTGTCGTTCCCGATGTACCTATGACTCTACCAGCTCTCTCCCTAGATCCGGACTCTTCATCGTTACTCCAACTCACAAACGCTGCCGTCTTCGATGGCGAATCAGAACCTATACCAAGAACCCGCACTCCGCCTCCTACACCCATGACAACAAGCTGGTCGACACCAAGTCTCTCCCAGCAACTCACCGCCAAGATCTCCAACGCCCTAATGAACAACGATACGGTGGTGCGTCGACCCAAGCTGAGCTCTCGGCCAATGGTTCGAACAGACCATTTCAAGCATCCAAGCGATGACCAGCGAACTACCACCTCGCCCAAAAGCGCCATGTCAGAGGTCCCTTCGCTTCCATCAAGTGTCCTGAGCCCCTCCAGCAGCGTCGCACCGCTGAGCCAGTCCACTGCACCGACATCGTTGGTCTCTTCAGGTGCGCCGCTGTCTGCTGAAACCACCTATCGAAGTCAGAACGGTCGTCATGTAACCGACAATCAACCTGCGCTCTATTGTGAGGCGACCCCAGAACGTTTGCCTCCAAGGTTCCTTGTCTTTCCACGTCAAGACGCTCCGCGACTGTGTGAGCCTTCCGTTGCGACCATCGAGAATGCAGCAGCGGCGAAGATCTTCTTCGAGTCACACTTCAATCAGCTTCTCGGTACCAAGGTTACACCACGATCTATGCGTCGCCGCCAAATGGAGCGGAAGGTATTCACCATGGCCATACCGAACGAGCAACGTCACTCCAAAAGGCGAGAATAGTATCTTGCAGAGACACATCATCTGCGTCAAACCCGTGTCATGAAGTCGAATACACTAGCGCGTCAGACGATGAAAGGCGTACACATCTCCAATTACGACATCGTAAGAGTCCTCGGGAAAGGTAGCTTCGGTGTTGTGCGTCTCGTTCGCGAGAAGAGTGACAATTGCGGCAGTCTACGCGGAAGCAGCTGCAGTATGGGATATCTCGACGGCTCATTGACGCCAAAAACTGATAGACCTTCCCCGACCATCCGCAGACAAAAGCAAGTCTTCGCCATGAAGGTCATCAGAAAGTCGGATATGCTTCGCAATAGCCAAGAGGGACATTTGCGAGCAGAGCGAGACTTTCTAGTCGCGTCAGAGAATTCGCGATGGGTAGTTCCCCTAATTTCTGCTTTCCAGGACAACAACAACCTCTATCTCGTCATGGAATACATGATGGGCGGCGACTTTCTGGGCCTCCTTCTTCGTGAAGATATCCTTGATGAGAACGTCGCGAAGTGGTATCTCGCAGAGATGATACTGTGCATCGAGGAGGCACACAAGATGAACTGGATCCATCGCGATGTCAAGCCCGACAACTTCTTGATCACTTCGTCTGGCCATCTCAAGATCTCCGACTTTGGCCTCGCCTTTGATGGACATTGGGCTCACAACCAGACTTACTACAATGAGCAACGATATGGTCTACTCCGCGACTTGGATCTACATGTCAAAGGCGACGCACAAGACGTTGAAGAAGACAAGGATCGATCAGACGCTCACAAGACCATGAATCTCGTCAATGGAAGCGCAGCGGCCCGCGGTCGTTACCATACCAGACAAGCCTCAACGCATGGACCTATCATCGACTGGTTAAATCGAGAGCAGAGGCGTGAATTCGCCAAGAGTGTCGTTGGTACGAGCCAATATATGGCACCAGAGGTCATACGAGGCGAAAGCTACGACGGTCGCTGTGACTGGTGGAGCATTGGTATCATATTATACGAGGTATGTGGGCATGAGATGTTATGCTTGTTTACACTGACGATTTCGTAGTGCCTTTACGGCTGCACGCCCTTCTTCTGCGATAACCGCCAAGCTACGAAGATGCGCATACTCGTAGGTTTGGCTATGATACGCTGCGTTCTGGTGCTAACTCGCGCAGGATCATAGGAGGTGGCTGCGATTCCCATCTGACCAACGTTATGCCCGTCCCAACATCGACCGCGTCCCACTCATGCCAGTTTCACGCAACGCAATCGACCTCATGATGCGACTGCTCGAGGACAGACAAGATCGTCTCTCAGCTAAGCGATACCGTGAGAACGACTGGGTCCTCCGCGACAAAGCTGCTGGTGCGCGCCGCAATCGTAACGTCAACACCACCGGTCATATTGTTTACCCCAACGATGCCGAAGACATTAAGTCCCACCCGTTCTTCCGCAACATTCAGTGGTCACAACTGCATCTGACTCGTCCACCATTCGTACCACGCGTTCACGGCGGTCAGCCGATTACCAAATACTTCGACGACGAGGCCGAGATAATGAGCGCGTCTGATCATCTCGACTCTTCAAGCTACGAAGCTCTCGGAGGGCTGGCAGACCCTGCGGTAGAATTTCAAGATGGTGAGGATGATGCTACGTCCCCGGCCCAGCCGGCTGCCCAGCATGATGGTGCAGCTACGCCCGCTCAAGAAGGGTTCGCTAAGTCATTGCGGGACATGAAGAGACGCAAACGGGAAAAGAAACGACCCCGTGACAAGCTTCTTCGGGATCCAGATGTCAGCCAAACTGTTCTGGAGATCAGGAAGAAAGGTGCCTTCGTGGGCTACACTTATCGCAGGCCTCGGTTCTCGTTGCTAGACTTGGAGGACAAGATCGCTGCAAGACCTCACATCACACGCGGTGGGATAGTTGCTGCGAGTGCTTAGTGCTGTAGGTTCTTTGTGCTCTCTGCGGGAGTGTAGGGTTTCTTCGAAATGGATTGTTACGTTCTTGAGCCCATCGGGATGCGCATGGTCCTGTAATTGCTGTTCGATTATCACTAGAAGATGTAATCTCTCTCACCTCGACCGCCATCTCAGTCTCACACCTCAGCGGTCAGCATCGCATTGCAGATACCACTAGCGCCGTCTTGAGCACAGGTGAGATCTATATCATGCCCGTCTTTCTCAGTAACAAACCTTCCTACACCACACTTTCCGTCTCGACCTCATCACATAAGGCTTACAATCAAGCAAAAAACGATCCATCTGCTCAATATGATGGTCCCCAGAGCCATCTTTCTATGCCTTGCCGCACTCACCAGCGTCGCTGTCGGTACAGCCCCCGCAAGAGACCCCAACGACCCGATGCCA